GTCCTTTGCTTTGGGGTATCTGACATGTTGGGATGTCCATTGCTTTGGCACCTCCATCACTCTGGGGTGACTCCACAGGCCAAAGATGCTTCCCATGTGGCCCCAGAGCTGTCAGCCATGGTGGTGTACTGCCAGGCCACTCCCTTCCCTGGCCTGGCCCAGGCCCTACAGCAGTCCCGGCCCTATGAGATGTCCTCCTTCAGCGAGAGGAAGGCTCGGAAACTCATCAAGGAGGCAGGTAAAGGCAGTGGGATGGGGACAGGGGGTCAGGGACAGAGATGAGGACAGAGCTGCTCTGGCCACTCCAGGACACAAGGTTGTGGTTGCTGAGGTGGCCCATGGGCTGGGTTTGAGCATTGGCACAAGATGCTCAGGACTGGTGGGAATGGGGGCTCTGGTGGAAAGGTCAACATTTGGGATCTGGCGTTTGGGTGCAGTGTGTCTGTTTGGGATCAGGTCTGGGGTTGGGATGAAGGTCAGGTTTTGTGGTCCATTGGGATCCAGACTCAAGGTCAGGGTCTGAAGTTTGGGGACAGGTTTTGGGGTCAGGTTTTGAGGTCCGTGTCACCATGTGGCCCCCACCCAACTGTCCCACTCAGGCCCCACGTTTGTGCGCTACACCTCCCGGCAGCTGAGCCGCGTCTACCCTTTGGGATTGAAGATGACCTCCTCCAACTACAATCCCCAGGAGATGTGGAACGCCGGCTGCCAGCTAGGTGAGCCCTCAGCCCCATACGTCCCCTGAGATGCAACATCCACCCCAATGGCCCCGTCTCTGTCCCTGCAGTGGCCCTCAACTTCCAGACGCCAGGCTATGAGATGGACCTGAACACCGGGCGCTTCCTGGGCAACGGGGGCTGTGGTTACGTGCTGAAACCCCAATTCCTGCTCAACCCCCACAGCGGCAGCCCCCACCCCCTCGTGTTGTGCATCAGGGTGAGGCTCCCCTACTGCTGCTGCCTGCATCCCATATGGGTGACACCAACCCCATGTCCAGCCACGTGCCACCCGCCACGCCTTCCCAATGTCCCTTCCCACAGGGACCCCCACGGTGTCAGCCTGTTCCCCTGTTGTCCCCAGGTCATCACGGCACAGCAGCTGCCAAAGCTGAACCGGGAGAAGCTCAGCTCCATCGTGGACCCTTTTGTCAGAGTGGAGATCTATGGGGTGACAGCGGACTGCAGCAAGCAGCAAACCACCTACAGGAGCAACAACGGTGATCCCATTATTATCCCCATTCCTCTCAGTGCACATCAACCCAGTCCCATTATGGTCCCCATTTCTTTTAATATACCCCAGTCTGGTCCCACCTTTTCCTCCAGTATATCCCAGTGCCATCCCATTCCACCTGGTACATCTCAACTTGTCCCATTATGGTCCTCATTCCTCTCGGTACATTTCAACCCGGGCCCAGTTTGGCCCCCATTCCTCCCAGCTCATCTCAGCCTGACCCCATAACGGTCCCCGTTCCTCCCAGCTCATCTCAGCCTGCTCCCACTGTTCCCCATTCCCTGGGCAATGACCCCCCTTGACGCACTCCTGTAGGCTTCAACCCACGCTGGGAGAAGACGCTCACGTTCCAGCTGCGGGTCCCTGAGCTGGCGTTGGTGCGCTTTGTGGTGGAGGACCACGACAGCACCTCCTGCAATGACTTCGTGGGGCAGTTCACGCTGCCGCTGGGCAGCATGCGAGAAGGTGGGTGCCCCCCTACTGGGGGAGGGGACAACCCCGGGTCTCCTACTCGGTGCCTGCTCTGTCCCCAGGGTACCGCCACATCCACCTGCTCTCCAAGGACGGTGCGTCCCTGGCCCCTGCCACGCTCTTTGTGCACGTCACATGCAAACGCCCATGATGTCCCCGTGGCCAACGTGCTCCTGAATGGGGTGCAGGGACAGAAGGGGACACTGCTGTCCAGCCAGGGTGACAGCAGGGCTGCCTGGGGTCTCCAGTGGGGTAGAGGACCCTGCCTGTGTCCCAATTGCTTGCGCTCTCACCCCACTTTTCCCCTCTGGCTGAGACCAGGAGGAGATGGGGACATGGTGACAACCAGGACGGGGTGGCCCAGCCACCATGTTCCCAATGCATCTGGAGGGACATGATGGTGACAGCAGCTTCACCGGCTCCATCCCGACTCCTTTGGGCTGCAGGGATGGTGCCTGCCACAATGTCCCCAAGGAGACCCTGCCTCCACAGCCGTGGCGCAAACCACATGGTTTGGTGCTTGAGAACTGTTGACAGAGATTTGTACCCGGTGCCCAGTGGATTGAATAAAGGTTTATTGAACAGCTTGCCCCATGTCCCCTTCACCTGCTGTCACCTGCAGGAGGGGTGGCTCTGGGGACAAAGGGAGGAGATGCAGGGGGAAATGGCTGAGCCCCCTTTTCTGATGCTTTCCCCAGTGCTGGGGGCTTGTTGAAGCCTGGTTCACCCCACTGTCCCACAGCCCCAGAAAGTCCCACGTGCTCCCAGCTCAGTACTTGTAGCTGATGTCCCCATCACCAGTGCAGGGCGGCTCTTGGCTCTGTGGGGCACAGGAGGGGATGCAGAGCTGCTTGCATAGTAGGGGGACAGGGACACTGGGAGTGCATAGATGGGCATGTGCAGCTCTGAAACCTTTGGCGTGGAGATCAAGAGCAATGGAGCAATAGAAACAGACGTCTTCTTGGGAAAAAGGGTTCCATGGACGAATCTGGTCCTGATTCTGAGCCTGTGCAGGAGGCACTGGGAGCAGCTGAGCCCCCAGGAAGGCTGATGGCACGTTGTAGGGCATGCAGGCTGGACTTCGGTGGCGTGGAGAGAAAAACATCTGAGCACAGTGCGCCGAGGTGGCCTGGGGTAGCGGATGTGGATGTGCTCCAAGCTGGGTCCCCTGCATCTTCGCCCTGAGGCTTCAAGTCTCCGAGGCTAGGGAGGAGAAGGGACAAGGCATTGCTTGCACAAATAGCCCTTAAAACCAAATATTGAGGTGTTCCCAAGCAGGGAGGGATGGCACCAAGGAGCAGGTGGTAGCCTTCAGCAGCTGAATGCATTCGTGCCAATTTGGAACAGGAAAGATTTAAAATATATATAATATATACTTTTATTATTCACCCGTTAACTCCATTATATGCCAATCATGAGCTAGTTTCAGCAGTTACATTCCCTTGATCATGTCTTTAGGAGGATGCAATTAATTCAAAACAAAGGAGAGCACTGCCGCTGCCTGGGGATGCAGTCGGTGACATCAGTCGGGGCTGGCAGGGCTGGCTCACTTCCATGTGGTGCCACATTCAGCCAGGCCAGGCTCCTCAGTGACAGCGTGCCATCCTCACAGGGTCACTTACTGCAACACCAGTCCAACCTGGAGAGCAAAGAGATGTGGGTTGCAAGCGACAAGTGACTGTCTCCTACCTCAAACCCAGCCGGGATGGACGGAACTCCCGGCCCATTGCTGCTGGGAGGGCTGCAGCCCCAAACCCACCAGCTCTCTGGTGAGGAGCTGCTCGAGCAGCCCTGCAGAGATCCCTGGGAGCTCAGTGGTGGAGCAAAGCTGCGCTGAGCTGCGTGGATTTGTGCCCTGTGGGAGCTGCGTGACTCAGATCAGCCCGGACTTCGCAGCTGGAGGTGTCAGAAATCCCTAATTCCATACCTGTCAGCCCTCACACCTCTAACGAGCTTCTGCGGGCTCTCCTGCCTTCAGGATGGCAGAGACCCTAATGAATGCCATTAGTATTAATGAGCTGTCGCGATGGGCAGACTGCAGGAGCACTGTGTTGCACAGCAGGATGGCGCCCGGCTCTCCAGGGCTACACCCAGCGTGGTTCCCATCCCACCCAGGACTCCCTGGGAATGCGATGGATGCTGAGCCACAATGCCGTGTGGTGGAGCAGTTCAGCTCCCTCCAGAGGGGCTCCTGCTGGTATTGTCCCACCATGGTGTCCTGTACCAGGCTGACACACAGCTGTAGTGCTGCACAGTGCATTCAAGGCACACAGAAAGGACCGCTGCGCCCACCGCTGTGTATCTGCCAGCCCACAACCTCCTCTCAGCTGCAACTCCCCACCTCTGGAGCCCGTCCCTCAGGTCCTCTGGGCTGGAGGACCCCACTCACCTTCTCTGGTGCCATGCTGGGACATTTCCAATTGTACAGGTAATACTGCAGGTTCCCGTCCCCAATCCCAAACTTCAGCTTCTCCAGGAAAGTTTTGTTTTCCATGAGATCCAGTGCATTGAAGACATCAAATCCTTTCTGTACGAGCAAAATACAAAGCCATCAGCTTATGTGCTGGGCAGTTCTCCCGTGTGAGTGCTTCCTGACCCCTCTCTGGCTCTCTGCACCCCAAAATATGAGGATGATGAGGCTCCAAGCTGCCCAGCCCCGCTGTGCTCACCGACTTGGCGAGGATGAGAGCGTCGCTCATGAGGTCGATGAGAGGCGTTTTGGTGTGGACGTTGTAGAAGGAGTAAGCAGCTTTCAGGCTCTTGTGGGTCGGGTGGTTCATGATGGTGGAGGGCAGCGTGTAGAAGCTCAGGAAGTCTGTCACCTCCCCTGGGGTGCTCTGAAAGGCAAAAGTGTGACACCACAGCGTGTAAGGGCTGGGTTAATGCCTGCCCAGAGCCTTTAAACTGTAGCATGGGAGCACTGATCTGCTCTCTTCTCTGCTCTCAGACCACCCAGCTCTTTCCTGGAGGGGTGAAACTCCCTAAATTTCCACACAGTGTTCTCAGTTTCACACTGCTGTACGTGCTGTATGGATGGGTTTGAAGTTATGGCCTTGGACTGGATTTCATATGCATCACTTTGTTTCTGCCTCCTCTGGAAATGCCCTTTTAGTTTCCCTGCCATCAAAATGTGGAGATGTGGCACTTGGGGACGTGGTTGATGGGCATGGTGGGGATGGCTTGGGGTTGGACTGAGTGATCTTGGAGGTCTTTTCCAACCACAATGATTCTACAATTCTAAGGGCTCCCTGAGAGCTGGGGCAGCTCTCCCCACATGGGAAGCAGCGCCCTGCAGCAGCTCACACCAAGATGATCCCAAGAAAACAGCCCTGCCTCGTTCCTCCCCCTCACCTCCACCACGAAGGTGTCGATGATGTTCTCCTGAGGTAGGAACCAGTGCTCCACCTCCTCTTGGCTCATGACGGGCGTCAGGTGGAAATGCTTCAGGTACTCGGTCAGGAGCTTGTGCACTGCAGGGATGTCTTTGTGCTCCATTGGCCGCAAGCCTGGAGTCTTGGGGGTCTGCAGAAAGCAAGAAAAGTCATTGGCACCACGTATAGGGCAGCTTTGTCCCCAAAGGAATGCCTTCACTCCCCAGATGCCTCTGAGCTGAGACGTGGGTCTGACTTTCTGCTCAAAAAGCAGCAGCTATAGAAAAACAGCCTCCTCCAAATGAGACAGACAGCTCCCACCACCAGAAGGAAACAAACAAGGGCAGGGCAGGTGGTGGCAAACTGAACGCTTTGTTTTTCTCCTCTATCCAGATGGGGAAGTTCCCCAGCAGGACAACGGCAGCACCAGAACCCATCAGTGTGAGTGAGGAATGAGGGACTGACCCAACTCAAGGGCACCATGAGGCTGCATTTGGACAGATGAAGGCTGTCACTTCTGCATTCCTGTTCTACCAGGAGGACGGGATGTAAGTCACCGTGAAACAAAAGATCGCAGGGCTCCTGTGGTTGCCAGGAGTCACCCTCAAAATGCAGGTACCCAGGTAAAATAAGCAATGATTAAATAAAACCTAATGGCTCGATAAAGCTATTTACTACATAAACCAATGCCCGTCCTCCATGCAGAGGATTCAGCCTCTGCTGAGGTCTGTGTGTGTCCAACTCCCAGCTCACCCACCTCGGGCAACCGGTAAAGCTTCATGGTGCGTTGCATAGTCATGTTCCTGCTCAGGTGGGAGAATTTGACCTCGATGAGTTTCCGAGGATTCAGGGAGCGGTGCCAGTACCTGCACAAACACATCTGCTGGGGGAGGTCGTTCCTGGGCAGTGGGAAGGAGCGCAAGGTTCTCAAAGCTGCCATGAGAGGGCAAGCGAGAACACTGCAAAGGGGACGGCCAGGAGCTCCAGGAGAGAAAAACAAGAGCGTGTGCTGCAGAGCCTCCTGCCTTGTGATAAAGGAGCAGCTTAAGCAAAGCTGCTGGGATAATCCCTGAAGGACACTGCAGGGAGGAGAAACCTGGGCTGAGGCTGACGTGTGCTGCCTCAGGGAGCCCCACACCGATAAGTGCAGCCATCCCCATCCTCTGCAGCACAAGGGGCAGAGCTTTTCATCAGTCCTAAGTCTTTTCAGAGAACTGGAGCTCACCTGCATGTCCCCACAGGCTTTGGCAGCACCACTCCTGCTGTGTAAACAGCCTGAAAGATCCCCTCCAGGTGAACCCTTCGTGTGATCTCACGGATCAGGACCGGAGCCACTCGTTTTGAACGCAGCTTTTTGTGGACACACAAGAAGTTTATCTCCACCATCTTCTTCTCTCTGTGGAAAGAAACAATGCAAAGCGTGAGACCCAACTGTGCTGAGCGGGATCCAACGCCCTGAGCAATTTAATTCCAGCTCCCCTGAAACACAGACAAGGCCCATGGGAGGTCAAGGAGCAAGGTCTGGCTTTGGAGAGCTCTCCTTGAAGCTGCCACACGAGGTTTTCTCAGGAAATAGTCTCCAACCAGCTCTGGAGGATTTCTGTGGGGCAGAGCTCTACGCTCATCTCACTCATGGTGAAAACAGCCCTCAGGGCTGTTAGCTACATGGCATCCTTGCACAGAACCTTGCAGCCCATCCTAAATATCCCCAGTCTTATCCTCCAAGCAGCCAAGCATCTCCATGGCTGAAGGGCATCGGCCTGGAATGCCACCAAGGGACAGGATGAGAAACTCATGCGAGCAGAACTTACGTTTCATAGATGTGGATGGTGGCAGGAATCGCACTGATAAACCCAACCAGCTTCTTGCTGGAGACCACTCTGACACCACAGTGCCACTGGGGCAGCCAGCCTGGGGGACGCAGCGCCCTGGAGGAGAGACACACGCTGTGGTCACAGCACACAGCACACCCGAGGTTCTACATGCACCTCCTGCTGCCTCCCTGAAACATCCCAAAACCTGCTCCAGGCCACCGAGGCACCCAGGCAGGAGGACAAGAGGTGACCACAGAGTGACACTGCAGGAACACTGGGAGGCATTCCTGCTCCTTCTGGCCTGACACAGGAAGAAATCAACACTCCTCGATTCACGAATGCCCCGAGGAAACAGCAGCTCAGCTATAACAGGTCTCCAAGTGCTACTGCTGGCAGTGTTACTTGGCAGTCACCTTCATCCTGCAGCTCTGGGTCACTGGGAAGCAGCTGCAGTGCTCTGGCCGGGGTTGAGCCCGCAGCATCCCTCACCCTCTGCTCTGTGGCTGCGCTGCCACTCACCACAGCAGGAACTCAGGAGAGTAGTCGAAGCGGAACATGTTGTCATCATCTTCCACGTAGTTCTCATTCAGCAGCGTGTACAGCTCCTTCAGCTGGAGGAGAGATCAAGCAGGTCAAGCGAGTTATTCAACCAGCACTGTTCACCTGCTGAAGCCAGCAGCCCTGAACCAGGATCCAGAACACTTCTGGTGTGGCTTCAGCACTCCAAAAATCACTCCAGACGTCAAAGCACTGAACCATGCGATGGGGACTCACACACTGAGCTGCCCCTACTTACCACGCCTCTGTCCCCAAGGTCCAGCGCGTCCCAGGTGAAGCCCTGGGGCAAAGTGTATGGCTCCTGGCGGATGTTGTCCTTGTCTGGTTCAACGGGGCCGTGGGTGTTCACCACCTCTCCTGCCAAAGAGAGCAGGGAACTATGAAAATCACCTCCATCCCCACAGCACCTGCTCTGGGCTCTCAGCACCTCAGCCCTCATGCAGGCAAAGCAGCCACAGCAGCATGGCTGTCAAAAGATGCACACCCCAGTGCTGAGGAATTGCCTTCAAATGGCACTGAAAAAGTTTCCAGGCAATGAGGAGGCAAACAAAGCCCACAGCAAGAACTGTCCCCACCTCCGCCTCTGGAAGTGCTCATCCATGTAACACTGCATGCCTAAAACACTGAGATGGACAGTGGGGCAGTCAGCCAGAGCACAGTCAGCATTTTGGTGCACTGTGGCTGTTTGGTGCCTCTCCTTCCCCACCCCTTTCATGCTGTACCTCCCAACTAATGGGGTTTATGGGCACAGAGGCGGTTTGCCACGTCAGGATCCTCTGGTGAAAGGGGCAAACACAAACCAGGCTTTGCTGCCTCGGTAACCCCGTGCCTTTGGTATTCCACAATGATTTCCCAGCACAAGCACAAAGAGGGACCAAAGCTGGGTATCACTTCCAGCAAACAGCCCTTTGAGACCAAACAAAGCCTCGGACGGGTGCTGACAGCATGAAAAGGGAATCACACGCGGCGTTTGCAGCAAGAAGTGTTGGGAACTGCCTTGTGAAGATTGTGCAGACAATCTGCAGCCACAACAACTTCAGATAAACCTACATACTATGCTCCCATCTCCTGTGAGGGCTTCTTGGGACAGCCTGGGGGCTCCGGGCCACGTACCGAGCTTGGGCACTGGCTGCGTGTCCCAGAACTGGTAGCTGCGCTTGCTGGCCTCCTCCATGGTTTTGGCAGGGCCCTGGCCTACAGAGAAGAGCTCAATGGCTTTCTGAATCTCCTGGATCCTCTCAGCGGGCAAAGAGTTGACCTGGGGCAAAAAAAAAAGACGAAATGAGGATGCTGAGCTTGTAGGTCTGTGTTTCAGCTCCTCGTGAGGAGTGCTGGGGGTACCAATGGGGTAGGGACAAACCCTGCACCTCCCATGCTCCTTCCCAAGGCTCTCGCTGCTAGTCCAGGGCAAAGCCAAGAGGGGCAGGCAGCCCCTGCTGCTGTTCTTATGTTAATTAAACAAAAATCAACACCAGGGAATGTTGTCCAAGTGTAGGAAAATGGGTTTGTTGAGCTGGCAGCCAGGCATGGTGGCACAGAGCGGCCATTCCCTGCCATCCCCGCTCTGATTTCGGGAAGAGCAGCTGAGAGGCGCCAGTCTGAGCCTTTCAGTGGAGCTGGCTTTGATACCCAGCAACGGGCTGCATTCACCCTGCAGCAACACCTCCCACAGCAGTGGGAATTCCCATGCACTGAGCCAGGAAATCACTCTAAACATGAAGGCTTTCGAGCAGCCAAGTGCCTGAATACAACAGCAGGCAGTGTCAGCACCGGGGTAATTTTGACCGCCCTGAAAGGTTTGAGATGTTCACCTTCATTGGCTGGTCCTGAGCCTGGTCGGGCTGATCTCCTCCTTTTTCTTTCTTCCGTTTTGGTTTCTTTTTCTTCTTTTTGGCTCCGCTGTCATTCACTGGACTCAAGCCACTAGGGAACAAAAGAAACATCATTGCAGTTTTTGGGCTGGTTTGTTTTTGGTGTTGTTTTTTTTTTTGAGGACACTTACACAGCCTCTGAAACACCCTAAGGAAAATAAAAGCTCCCTGTTCCAAGCCCTGGCCTCACAGTCCCCTTCCTTCCCCTGTCCTCCAGCTGAGGACCATGCATTGGTTGAGGTTGGAGGCACCTCTGGATGCACTGGGGCCATCTGAGCTGGTGGCCAGGACCAAGGGCTGCCTGCCTCCATGGCTAGAGGCTCCAGCAGCTTCCACACCAGGAGAAACCCCATTGCCAAAGCCAAGAGGTCTCTGTGTGTGTGGATATGTCTTCGGTCCATGGACCCACACAGCATCTCTCCACTCCAAACTCCTGCTAACAAGTTCAGCCCAAGCGGAATTATTTTACCAACAGGTAGAAGAGGGGAAAAAAACCTCCCTGATTTATGAGTGAAGATGTCGTGAGCAGGAAGAAATCAGAGCTGAGTGTTCCGCATTAGCAGATTTCAGCTGGGGAATGAATGCAGCCCATCAGGCAAAGCACAGAGGAAATGTAATGCAGAGAATGGGAGCTACGCCGGAGTCCTTGGGACTCACAGCCGTGCTTGGAGGGATTTTCAATTTTAAACCCACTTAGCAAAGCAAATACCAACGGTTAGAGGTATTTTCTATTTTAAAGTCCATTTAGCAAAACAAATAGCGTGCCCAATCCCCTCCAACTCCCCAAATTAACCCCCGTGCCCTGCACAAATTGCAAACATCCCCAATCGCAGTGCACGGGGCTGCTCTCCATCCATCTGTCAGTGAACAGACAGCTCTGCCTCGAGCCCACAGCTCTCCCAGATGTGCTCACAGCCTTTTTCCTCTCCTATCTCGTCAACCCAAGAGCTGCTCTGACAGATAACATGGGTGGAGAAAGGCACACCGGCTGCGCTACCAGACCTATCTGGGTACTTCGGGACATGGGCTACTGGCATAGCAGGGACGAGTTGGGTGGAGCTTGGTGATCTTGGAGGTCTTCTCCAACCTTAATGATTCTTGAAAGAGATGTTAAGGTACAAGATGAGGTGACGGGAAGCAGCCAGCAGGGCGTCACCAGCCCATGATGGGGGGAGGTGGAGCTGCATGAGCTTTAAGGTCCCATCAAACCAAAACCTTTCTGTGATTCCAACTCCTCAAACACCTCCATGCTTAGAAATCAGAGAGGTGGTGGATGAGGAGCTGTGTCTGTCCCACATTTAGATGCTGGAAAATCCTCCTGACAAACTAATTGTGTGGCTAATTGGGTGCAGGTAATCTCATTAGGCTGTGGGGGCGGGCAGATGGCGGGACATCATCACTGTGATGTGTTCTGCAGCAAACCAGAAACAGCAACGAAACACCGCTTCCACACAAAGGAAATGAGAAGAAACATGAAAGTGTGAAAAGTTTTCTCTGTTGGAAAATGAACTCTGTGCTTCACCACAGAGCCACTTCCCAGTGCTGACACAGAACCCGGGCGGGGGATGTCAATTCCTCCTTCCTGTCCTTAAAAGGAAAGGAAGTGCTGCTATCGCTCAGTAATAGTGCTGAGTTCCTACAGCCTAGAGCCAAGAGCTGATGGCTCCAAGCACAAACTGGGCACTGGCAGAGGGACAGCCCCAGGCACAGCTCCCAAAAACCACCCCTTTGTGCTCTGTGCTGGGGACAGCACTCACCTCGTGCCCTTGCAGATGTGGCACTGGGGGACATGGTTAGTGGACATCGGGATGGGTTGAAGTGTGACTGGATGATCTTAGAGGTCTTATCCAACCTTAATGTTCTATGAGTGGGCATGGAGGGGATGGATCTGGTGGGGATGGGTTGGGGTTGGACTGGATGATCTTAGAGGACTCCTCCAAATTTAATGACTATGTGACTTGCTCAACGGCACCCAACCCTTCCTAACCCAGCTCACTCATCAGCCACCATTCATCTGAACAGCTGTACTGGGAAATCATGCCGAGAAAGCACAGTAGCAGTGATTAAATGCCATGTCTGCTCTCTGCTTGGTCCTGGTTCCTGCAAACCTAATCATGTAAGAGCAGAGGAGAAGAGAAACCTTTCCAAGCATGGCTAAACCCATTAAAAGGAGACATGATGCCACACCCAGGAGGCAAATAAAATAGAAATGCACATCTGTGCTGCTGTAAAACAGCTTCTGTAGTATGTCTTGCATGACCTTTTATTACCAGACAGGCAAGATCACTGCTGACGGGAAGAGAAAGGCCGTTCCTAGGATGCAGGTGGGAGCCTGGCAAGGCTGGGATGTGCCAGGCAGAGGCACAAAACTTCAGTGCGAATGGTGTGGGATCACTGCTAGTGTCTGTGTCATCGCTTCACACCTCGTGTCCCCAGCACTGCGCTGATGGGTGCCAAGCAGGTGGCACTGGGTGACACGGCGATGCTGTAGGAGCCAGCGGGGGCTGCAGGCAGGAGGATGGCACAAACCAAAGCACCCAGAATTCGGCATAAAACTGCAAGAATCCCCGAGGTCTCCGCCCCCTGCCTCCATCCACGCCACGATCGGGCCCGACCCCGCAGCTTCAGCACACGCTCTCACACATACGAGTGAATGGAAGCTAAACGGCCCGCCCCCAGGCCGACCGACAAACGGCTCGTCCAATCGCAACGCGCGATGTTATCTGCTGGCCAATCAACGCGCGCCAGGGGCGGGGCGGCGCTGACTTCCCGGCCGCTGCCCACCTCCATGGGCCCCGCGGCCGCCCCCGCGCCGCGCTCACCCCCGCTTCGAGCCGCGCTCCGCTTCGTTCTCGCAGTCGCTGCAGTGCTCGTGGTCGTTCTCCTCCGCCGACGGCCGCTGAGGCCTCGCCAGCGGCCGCCTCACTGCTGTCTCACTGTCGTCCGCCATCTTGAAACGGGGCCTCGGCGGCTGCCGCACCCCCACAACAAAGCGCGCTGTGATTGGGTAGCGCGCCGCCGGGCATGCCGGGAGCGGTAGTCCGCGCGGGTAGGCGTTGGCCGGACTGGGCGTGGGCGGGAACTACAACTCCCGTCAGCCTTTGCAGCCCCCGACCCGCTTCCTGCCCGAGGGGGTCGGACCGATCCTAATGCAGGTGGCGCTGATTGGCTGAGAGCGGCACTCTCAGTTCCTCCCACCCAATCGGCGTGCGCTACACTGCGTGGTGCGCGAAGCCGGCAGCGGGTGAGTGCGTAGGGGGCGAGGCTGCGGGTCTGGCTCGGCCCGGCTGAGGGGCTGCGGTTGGGGGTGTGGCTGCGGATTTCCACGCTGAGATCATGATTTATTTTTTTACTTTTTTCTCTTTTAATTTCATTTTTTTTTTCATTGCCGAGCCCCCGGCGCTGAGCTCGGAGTGAAGTTGGTGCACTTTGGCCTTCAGTCACGGCTCCTTGGGATGTGGGCCGTTAGGCCTCTCTGTTCTGTGTGGTAAAATCATTGAATTCACTACTTTATTTTTTTTTTTTTTCTCTTCTGGTTTTGGCTTTCCTCTTGTTTGTTTGTTTAATTAGGGCAGACCAACACCGCCCCAAACTGCTCTGTTCTGGGGGAAAAGCAGCATCTGGCTCCTGCAGGAAGGGATGATCAGCCCCTGTGTACAAATCAAATCGTTTAACATTCACACCTCACAGCACGTTGATACCTCGCACCACGGGTCTCGTCTGGTCCCTGTGGCTGTACAAATGCTTACAAACTCCATTGGGCTGCATTTTGGATGCCAGCCTTTCACACTGCTCCTTTACCCCTCAGTAATTCCTGCAGCTGTCAGCTCACAGAGGTCTGTAATGGAGGGACAGAAATAGGTTTGTTGGGAGCACATAACAGAGGGACAGAAATAGATTCATTGGGATCACGTAACAGGACAGAAATAGGTTTGTTGGGACCAGGTCCCAGCTGGGGCCACAGCTTGGGGTTACTGCGCTTAGAAACGCTGTATTTACTTTACATGGGCAGGAGAGTTTTATGTTTCTAAACAGGAAAAGAGTTTCCTCCCCACAAAGCTGGGTACTGATGGCCTGAGCCATTTCCTCTCCCCCACACCAGCACTGCTCACATCACAGGGTGTAGAACATGTAGAACATCCAGGGCTGGATCCAAACCTGCTCTGAAGGTGAGGGGGGCATAGGAGGAGGGAATGCCCCATGGGGGTCAGGTGCTCACTTGGCAACAAAGCTCAGGATTTACTTCAGCCTCTTGGAGATCACTGATGTTTGTTGTGGCTGCCCTCTCTGAATTCCCCCTTCTTGCTGGAGTTAACCCCATCTGTTTGCCAAGAGGAAGGGAAGAGCGCACATGGTGCTGCTGTGGGCTCTGTGTACTCTCAGCAGCCACAGAGTGAAGTTGCTGGCAGGTGCTGCTGGCTTTCCTCTCTTTGCTCTAACTCCCATTTCCTCCCTCTGCCAAACTGCCTTCAGCTGCTGCTGAGCACATCCAGCCCTCTCTGGATCCCATTTGTAGGACTGAGTCGTGACGCAGGTGTCTTTTTCTAGCAAAGAGGAAGCATTGAAATCACACAGATCGTCAGGGTTTGGGGCAGGTGCCTCTCCAGGAGAGGCTGAGCTTCCCCTGGTCTGGCTAGGAGGAGGATGAGGGGTGGCCAAGAGCAGCCCACCACTCCAGGGATGTGGTTACTAAGGGGATGGAGCTGCTCACAGCCGATTTGGCAAAGGGCTGAACCGGCCCCTGGGCTATCAGCAGGCACAGGGCTGTGTGTCTGATGCCTGTTTGTGAGCTGACAGCCAGGAGCTTACTGCTCAGAGCCGTGATTTCTTGCATCCGTTGCGCTGTCCATGCGGTGCGTGCTGCCGATGACAGTGCTGGCTTCCAGGTAGTGCAGAGATGTGATTTACTTGCAGTCTCCTGTGGTCTGCGTCCTGATTATGTCAGAGGTAGCTTGTCTCCTCTTGCTCCCCATCTGTTGAGATCAAGCAGGGCTCACTATCTGTCCTCGTGGGCTGAAGTGCTGAGTGAGTTCTTCCCGTTGTCACAGATCCTGTGTCACCCTGCCAGAAGCATTGGGTGCCCTCTGATTTGGGACGCTGTAGGTGAGGCACAGCCAGAATCCCCATGCTCTGGGGAAGCCTTGTTTAACCTGGCTCTGTTCTTCAGCGTGGGCACCCAGCTCAGAGGGGTGCCAAGACTCTAATAATGTTTCAGTGACTCCCTGAAAATGTATGACTGGGCTCTGAATGGAGTTGCTTGTTTGGTATAAATATTTGATGAACAAAACAGCCACGTCCTGGCACGTTTTCAGCTCTCTCTTTCTATTTCAGAGCGCAATGTTCCTGGTCGGGCTCTCGGGTGGAATCGCGTCGGGGAAGAGCACAGTGGTGGCCGTGCTCCGGGAACTGGGCTGTGCCGTGATTGATGCTGATGTTATTGCCAGAGAGGGTTCGTTCTGCATTGCTGATCTTTCTCCCCGATGTTCCCCTGACAACTGGGATTGATGTGCAGTGACGCGCAGACGGCAGAGGGTGCTCTGGGTACATTAGATCTGCTTCCCTCCCATTCCCCCAGCCGATGGGGATGTGTGGAGCAGCTGTCTCAGGGGATTGGAACTAAGATATATTTCTAATAAAAAAAAAAAAAAAGAAAAATAATGTCCTAATAACAAATGCCAGGGGAAATCTTATCCTGAGTTTCCCTCTCCAGGAGTGCAATGCAGTCAGTGCTTTCCGGCTTTGAAAGTGAGCTCTTGGCAAAAGAAATGCATTTCTCCTTACACTGGGTTCCGTGGGCTGATCCGACCTCCTGAGCCCCAGGACCTCACCCTGTAACTCAGTTATGCTGGGTGGTATCACTGAGCTGAAAGAATTCCCCTGGTGCTGGCTGTGAATACAGAGAAATCCATCCACAAAATCATTTGTGCCTTAATGTGCTCAAAAAGAAAAAAAAAAAAAAAAAGAGGCTGCAAAGATCTCAGTTCAGAGGGAATTCAGGCTGTGCTCCTGCACGTCTGCACCTTGCTGCTTAGAAACCCCGGCGCTGGGGCTGAGCAGCGGTGCAGGCTGTGTCATTTTGAAGCACTTCTCTGTTTGTGGAAGATCTTACCATGTAGCCACTCAAAGCTGCGATGCCCTCACGTTTTATTGCACTGTAATTCCCCTGGAGGCGCTGGAAATTTGCTGGAGGTGCTCAGAGCCCTCAGAGGCCGTAGGAAAGCGCTACGGATGCTTGATGTCAGTTTTCTACCAATCGCTTCATTTTCCTCCAATTCCTTTTTTATGTGTGTGCTCACGTATGGATCTGCCCCACCCTGCAACGGCCTCGCCGTGAAATTCCGATGGAGAAAGAAATTGGCCTTAAAGACTTTTATTAGGTTGGCCCATGGTTACAACCTGTGGCAACGTTCCTGGATTTCTGAGAGGAAATTACATCTGGTTTGCCACTCTCTGTGGCCAGCCTCAGCTTGATCTTAATTACATTTTTATTATTTCATTCTTTCTGTCGGTGATTTTGATGCCCGTTTAACGTCAGAGTCCCCCCCAAATACCTGCTGGGAATCGATCTCTGAGGCGCTCGCTGCATTCGTTCTCACTAAGAATTTGGTGGCTGAGGCTAAAAGCAGCAAAACACCTTTGTGACAGCCAGAGCCGGCGGTGCAGCACGTCCGAGGCGGTCGTGGCGCTGAATTAATGTCCCCAAAGCGCTTCGATCCCCAGGCGTCAGCCCTCGGAGGGACCTTGGGCTGAGAGTTTGCGGAGCGCTGCCTGCAGCGCCGGTGCCAGCTGTCTGCCGGTGCGTGCTGGCGGGCAGATGCGCTCTCAAGCTCTGTTGTTTAATGAGCAAACCTCATTTGAGGCCGATTGCTGATGCAAAAGCTGCCTGTGCCGTGCGGTTGTCTCTGACCTCCGGCTGTTTAATGTTATCAGTGGTGCAGCCCCGCCTGAAGGCCTATCGGCAGATCGTGCGTTGCTTCGGCCCCGAGATCCTCCTGGAGAGCGGAGAGATCGACCGTGAGGCGCTGGGAAACATCATCTTCTCCCACCCCGAGAAACGGCAGCTGCTGAACGCCATCACCCACCCCGAGATCCAGAAGGAGATGCTGAAGCAAGTCTTGAAGTACTTTGTGCTAGGTAAGGGCGGCGGGGCTGCTGGCTGTGCCCGTGTCAATGTGGAGAAAGGGGCAGGGAAGGGGAGCGGAGCTGAGTGGCCGCCTTTGTGCTCCGCCGCTGGTGGCCTTTAGCTTCGGTGTTCCGAGTTTTCATCGCTGCCCTTCCTGCCTTTCACCGCTGCCCTTCGCATTCTTCTTCTATGGTTTACAGTACATCTGCAGGGCCTGAGAAAGGCATTGTGAGGCCTCTTTGGAGATTGCTCTTTGGATAATGTCATACCTTCTGAAATGGCCAAATATTGTTCCCCGCTCCCAGCCTCCCTGGGCTTCGATGAAAGCTGCAGAGCACTTTTAGTCTCGATAAGGTGAGAAATGGGCTGACAGCTGTGCTTTCCAAAGTCCCACTTTTCCCCCTGATAAATATAACAAATGCAGCTGTCAGACTTGGTCTAATCAAATGCCAGATAAGATCACCAGCTGTTTCGGAGGTCTCCGTGTAGACAGAAGGATGTCTTAATAGAGTCAGTCTGGTTTTGTGGAGCTTATCAAAGCTGAGCTGCTTGACAGCTGAATAGGGCTGCACAGGGACCCCAAGATTTGGGGTGGAAGGAGCAGAAGGCAAGGGAAACAACAGGCAGGAGAGCTGGGAGCCAAAACACTCCGAGTTCTGAACCCAGGCTGCAAACTCAGAAGGAAGGCCCTGTCCTGCCCCTTGGCGAGAGTGCAGTGTGTGTTCAGCAGGCTGCTTTGTCCTCATTAGTCAGGTTTTAATGATTTGGGATAGCTGGATGCTGTCTCCGAGGATTGCTCTGTAAGGAAGGCTCTATTGATCAAGCCATAGGGCAGCAAGAAGCATCTCTAGACAGAGATGCTGG